ATCGCCCTGATGACGGACGCAGTATGACCTCTGAAACGTTGGTAAACATCGACCAGACTACACAGCGCAACAACCCAGAAGACAGAAATCTTCATAGAAATCATAAGCTGCAGACAGAATCCTAGGTGCTTCATAAGGATATAACTTAGACGTGTAAACAAATCAGACAAACAAATCTGAGCGGCCATGGAAGCTAGGTGTAGTCGAGCAGCAATGGAGCCCGAGGACCAATACCGCGTCAACAGGAGCCCGCAACTGGTCAATCTCGAGATCCTCCTGCTTTGAATTTCGTTTTTCACGGCGAGAAGTTGTTACCCCTCGCGCAACCACAAAGTTGGAGGAGCACCCGCTATCGGCTGTCCGCGAATGCTCGGTCAATACACTCGAAATTCTGTCCCCTCGCCAACTTGGTGGCGTGCCATGCCTTTTAACCCATCGCCTTTCAACGAGGTAGGACCCAACCGTTAACACCTGAACAAAATGTAACCATTCCCTTATCCGTACCTGTATACTCCAGACAGCTGCTAATGATAAATGTTCATGAGTCGGTAAAAACGTTCTTCCACGCAGTGGAACGCGGCATATTGAGACGTAAAATGAAATACAATGTACGTTCCGGGTTGCTTGAAAAGGTAGAAAAAAACAGCTTTTAATAAACAAGGCAAGAGGGAAATTATGGACGAAGAAACTTAAATATCCTTTGCACACAGACATTACGCCTTAGGGTCTAAAATGAAATGAGAACTTAGTTTACAGAGAGAAGGATGACGCACTGAAAATTAGTAACTAGAGATGTTCTACTCATGTACTTTACCTTTTGTTTTCCCCAAGGAACTTTGCGCTGAACGCTAACCTCGATTGAATTACTGCATGGTAAACACGCACGAAAAGCTCATGGGAACTGGCTGGAAAGTGGTAAATAAATGTAACAGCATAGACTTTAGGCGAAATCAAGACACGAAACGAACAAAATGCAAGGAGGCCTTTCTTTGCTGGTGTTACTTCATTTTGGATGACAGAAGTGGACAGAAGCATAGCCTAATTCTGAGGGATTCTGTGCAGACTGCAGAGACGTGTCACCACAAACAGCGACTGAGACCACTTGCTTACTCGTTGCCACTAGAGGAAAAAGGGAAATGACTAAACATAAAGAAAGATTACAAGAAATAAATAAGGAGTAATGAAAGAGCATATAAAGTCCATGGGAAACAAAAAGGAGTTGGAAGAAAAGATAATGAAAGAACGAAGAATAAATGTCAGGATGGGAGTTGGAAGAAAAGATAATGAAAGAATGAAGAATAAATGTCAGGGTTACTAAACGGAAAATAAAAAAGGAGGTCGCAAAGACGACTAATCTTTCACAGATAAAATATACAAAAGAACATTAACAAAGGATACAGATAAAAATGGCGAAGATTCCTTAAACATGCATTAAAAGACGCAGAAAAGGCTAAGAACATTACTTCTGATCAAACGGAAATAACTACGGACATGCACGCAATAGACATCAGACCAAAACAGTAATTACAAATTACGATTAATTATTGTTCGAAAAGGTTGCTGAAATTCAATTTGGGGTGATTTCTTTCATACTGTAATCCCTTAATGTCCCTTTTTATTTCCTCTCTTTTTTCCTTCGCCATTCCTGTTACATTCATTAAAATATGAAACGTCATGCCATTTAACAGAAAGGTTTGTTGCAGTGTTCACAGAAGCCCGCCAACAGAACATATCACAAGCCAGATTGGATCAAGACCACACACTATTAAGATCCACTGTAATGTTATCCCTCCATTTTTGTCTAGTCTCCCAAGTTCTGTCTTCCTTAATGTTATCCCTCCATTTTTGTCTAGTTCTGTCTTCCTATCTTGTTCTCATATTGTAATTCTTCGCGCATTTCATATTCTTCTTATGCGCGCTACATTCCCCACCCATCTTTTTCCTCTCGAATCCTCTCGATTACCCTAATACTAACAACCTGACGAAAGAGTAGTGATGAGATCCACGGCCTACATTTGGGCCAAAATGCTAGCCGTACGCCACTGCCCCCCGGAAAACTGTTCGCCAAACAGAAGCAGATCTAACGAGGCTTTCAGCAAACGACGCAGAATCCGTGTGTTGGAAGAGCAGGAAAAGCTGTAATTGTTCGGGTGATGGATTTCCATGTGGGAGAGAAAGTAAACTGTATTCGGGAACAAGTCCAAACTTTCGCATTAAATAGTGATGAAGCACAGTGATTACACGGGAGACGACGAGTTATTCTGTCTAGTCCATTAGATGCCAGCATCTGAGGTCCTTCCTCTACTTCCTTTCGCTTTGTCATCAACCATTTTTAGAAGTTATCCATTGCCTATTCTTATTTGCGTTTTGGCAGTCGTGTGGAAACATAAGACTACAAACTAAAGAAAAATCCCATTTTCAGTATTGTGAGTCGCCCACCAACTATACTCGGAATCAATATCATTGTTTAACAAAAGTTTATTATTAAACCCCGCGATTCCATTTCACACCATCACCGTGATGGGCAGATGGTTTCTTAACTCATCTTATTTTATTCTCGGTGTCTAAAGACGTTTTCGCCCGTTTTTGCCGGAATACGGAAGTAGACAGAAACTGTGCGGTGTAACCGATTAAGACCCAGGTCTACCACTAGAGGAATTTGGCATTTTCTTAGAGCTCGGCGCCAGTGAGTCACTTCAAGGTGCCCTTTTCTCAGTCTCGTTTCCGCACTCGAGCCATTTTAGTCGTTGGGCAACTATCAGTTTACCCAACTATATATTTACACCTACTTTTATAGGCTATAAAAGCCGTTGTTGTAAAAATGGCATGTGATGACGTGTCAAACCGCCCTGCACGAAATAACCGAGTAGGATGATCTATCTGTAACGCTTAGAGTCGCATTCGGGAGACATCCGCTTCGAATCCCGGCCGGGACAGTGGATACTTAAAATAACTTATTTTGTTTGTTTTTTTCTTAGCAGACCATGGCAGCTTCCTATCCAAAAGGTGTGGTTACCCTTAACTCACGATCGATTTTTGTAATGTTGTTGGACCTTCCGGCTATAATACCAGAAAGCTAAGTTAATTATTAGTTTAATTATTTAATGGAGTTGATGTCAACTCAGCTGCACTAGTTACTCGCGTCCGCCATGAAAACCAAATAAAATCAAAACTTCAAAACTAGCTTTATGAACTAACTAAAAAATTAAGTTATAGAGTTGCATTTTTCCTCGTTAAAAGTAGAATTTAATACTCACACCACAGCTATTCGACTGCCTGGACCTTATTCATTCTAACATGCTACAGCTTAATGAGATGAGGGTTGGTATCGGATAGGATAGGCTCCGTGTCATAAACATATAGGCCTATGTTTGGGGTGTAATTCGAACACGTAACCTCGGAAACCAGATAATCTAGTAATGTGGTAATAAAAGCCGCCCATAGGGTCGACCTATAATGGAAAATCTTTTGTCAAAGGAAGTCATTAAAACAACAAACTATGTGGACTGTAGCGGTAACACTATAATAATAATTATAATTATTATAATTAATATTATAAGCAGCTGTCTTCAGCAAGGGACATAATTAACTGATATAACTTCCGTAAGCGAACGTACTTCAAACACAACTCCAACCATGTAAAAAATTTCCTATAGACAAATTTATGACTCGCATAACCAGTAAAAGAAAGGGACAATGGAGAGAAATGAACGGCAGTACGATTGTATACTACAGAAGTTTTGATTGCGTGTGGGTGTAATCAAATGACTGCGCGAGGTATATAGCGTTAAATGGTATGGCGACAGTAAATAATGGAAAGCACGCGGAAGGAATCGATCCTGGTTCATTGTAAGACAGTGCCCCGTACCTTTACTTGCAGGAGCTGCGGACATCCATTAAAACCCTCAAGTCAAA